ACGGGACCTGAACCTGTTCAGCCTCCACAAGAGAAGGTTGAGGGGGGATCTAGTGGCCTCTTACAAACTAGTCAGAGGGGACCAGCAGGCATTGGGGGAGTCCCTGTTCACCCGAGCACTACCAGGAGTGACTAGAAATAACGGTCACAAGCTGGCAGAGGGTAAATTCAGATTAGACATCAGGAGGCGCTACTTCACGGTGAGGGCGGCTAGGATCTGGAACCAACTTCCAAGAGAGGTGGTGCTGGCTCCTACCTTGGGGGTCTTTTAAGACAAGGCTTGACAATCACCTTGCTGGGGTCGTTTGACCCCAGTACTCTTTCCTGCCATGGCAGGGGGTCGGACTTGATGATCTGCTCGGGTCCCTTCCGACCCTACTAACTATGAAACTTGAGGGCAGGGGGTTGGACTCAATGACCTACTGAGGTCCCTTCCAACCCTACCATCTATGAATCTGAGTCTTGAGAGGTTTTGAATCTTCCATTCAAAATGTTTTGTGATTTCTTCCATTGCTGACAGATGGGAACGGAGAGTCAGAATCAAATTCTGCAGGAGCAGCCTGCCCTGCGAGAATCTGTCAATGCATTGATCGGTGACCAGAAGCTCCAGGAAATTTTTAGCAGAGGTAAAACTGACTGGTTTTTCATTTCAGAGTGATTTTGATTGTGTCACCAGAGTACTGACTTATGCTTGGGTTTTGTTGAGAAAAGGAGTCAAAGTGATGCGTATGGCTGGTTATATTTGAAAGTTCCACTTTCATAGATAATGTGTCCCGAGTTCTTTGTGACATGAGGTTAATCATTTGTGTCAAAGTGCCTTCGGCTGGGAAAATGACTGCTTTCTCTATTTGAAGTGCCAAAACCTCTTTCAGTGTAAGTCAGTATTTACAGATAATCAGATCTTTAGATTTGAAATGTAAAATGTTTAGCTTTTGCCTGGAGCTGGGTTTTGTGGGAATTTAGAACTGAATCCTTCTGGTTGTCTTTGAGTTCTCTGCAACTGAAGAAAACTACTTTGCCTCAAAGTCTAATGATAGCATCTTGAACATGACTACAGGGAAACATAGGGCACTAGCCTTAGCAGCTCTGTGTTCATAAATGACTGGAATGTTAAATGGGATTTGATCCAGACTTGCGCTATGTGGTATTCTGACAGCCTAGTGCAGGGGCGGGCAAAATGCGCCCCGGGGGCCAGATGTGGCCCGCCAGGCCATTGTATCTGGGCCGCAGGCGCTGCCCCCCCCCCCCCCAAAATAAAAAAAAAAAAAATTTTTTTTTTTTTTATTTTGGGGGGGGGGGGGGAAGCCCCGGGGCCCCAAAAAAAAGGGCCGGGGGGGCCCAATCTGCCCCCCGGGGGGCTTTTTGCCCCCCCCCCCCCAAAATAAAAAAAAAAAAAATTTTTTTTTTTTTTATTTTGGGGGGGGGGGGGGAAGCCCCGGGGCCCCAAAAAAAAGGGCCGGGGGGGCCCAATCTGCCCCCCGGGGGGCTTTTTGCCCCCCCCCCCCCAAAATTAAGAAAATTAATACTTATTTGCCCCTGGCTGCCTGTCATGTGGCCCTTGATGGCTTGCCAAAACTCAGTAAGCGGCCCTCTGCCCGAAATAATTGCCTGCCCCTGGTTTAGTGCCTAGACCATGTAGCTTTGCTTCTTCTACAACCTTTGATTAGCAGCCTGGGCTCTTCAGCTTGACCAGTGGAAGCTTGTGGCTTTTGGTGCAGTTGGGTCCATGCTGCTGATGTCTGCCCCAGGGACGCTGCATTACGTTGGCGTGATGTGGATCTTACTGGGGAGCTAGTGACTTTGATATTAGCAAAACTGATTTTGGCTTAATAAGCAAGCCTTCTCTGTTTAAAGCAATGCTCCTCAAATGAGCTGGTCATCTCGTAATTTACAGTCAGTGACAGGATACTAGACTAGACAGGCCCCTGTGGTCTGAGTTGCTTTTCTTCCTTTGTTCAGGCAAGTTTTTTGTTTCTAGGTTTAGTGGGGAGCCAGGAGATGAATTCCGCATTCTGGCTTTTATAGCAGGAAAAAATTCTTACGACTGGATGAACTGTGGACTCATGGTCTGTTCAGGTCGCAAAACCTGTTGTTTGGTTTACATAAGTCTGCTGGTCTGCTCCACCTATACTTAATGCTTCAGCTACAGATAAGTGGCAGCCTTGTTCCAAATAGCAGCCTTGCAGTGTCCACCCAGCAAATGAGGGTCACAAATAGAAGAAAGAGTAGAACAAACAAAGCTGACAGTTAGGTTGTGTTACTTGCTATGTGGCTACACATTCATTTTTCTAAGTATTAATTTGTTTGTAGGTGATAGAGCAAAAGTGAAGAGAAGGGAGTCAGAATTTAGTGCATGTTTGCAAAGCTGGAGGGGAGGAGGGTGTTCAGTTATCCAGAAAAAAATTCTGATAAACTTAAGAAACTTGATCTGAGAATCATTGAGAAACAAATGTGAAGACCCCTGAGGCTGCTGGTCATTTTTATTCAGAGACTTGTGCTTACAGAGTACAGCTTTTTGCAACCAGCAGAAGCTCTAATAAAACTTGTAATCTGTTTCCTTGCACCAGAGCACTGGTACTTTCAACCCCAAGCTATATATATATTACTACCTGTATTATATACCTGTAATGGTACAGTCAGTATAATTTGTTCGAAGGTATGTTCAATCAGTGTGTGTCTTTTCTAGGTCCTTACAGTGTTCAGGGCCATCGGGTGAAGGTGTACCAACCGGAGGATGAAAACAGCTGGCTCTGTGGTGTGGTGAGCCGTCAAGACCCCATCACTCGGCTTATGGAGGTGTCTGTGACTGAGGTGAAGATCTGATATGTTTTGTTTGGGCTTCTGAAATGTGATTCTGTTGCATCACCTGATGAACTTATTTTTCAAAAAAACTACATTTATTTGTTCTTGGCTAGCGGTTCTTAGATGTGTAATCATTTACCCGATGCTTTATGGATAAAACTTCCACAGGCTTTATAATAAAAAGACAGTACACAATTCAGCAGTTCTGGTAGGGGAGAGGGTATGGGAGTGATCTTTGTTGAGAACAAGCTACTGTAGGGTGGAAAAAAACTAATGGAAATGACTCTGATAGAGAGTCCGCTGAATGGAAACATGTATTTTTCCATTGGTGTATATGGCTTTGAAGTATCTTCTTTCTTGGCAGCTACTTCATAGGTTACATGGGTTATAGAAATTGCCATCCCACATGCTGCATTTGTTTGACAATATACCCTAGGGGAAGACACATAGGTGTAACCTAAATTATTGTTTTGTTTTTTGTTGAGCTAAAATTGCAGACTTTTTAGCTTCTCCCAAATCCCAGTCGTCATGTCAGTTCCAAGTGGTTGATAGCATGGAGAACCTTCACTGACAACATTGATTATTGTACTCCTTACCCAGGAAGGAACAGCCAGCAAAAATGTCTGATTAGATTATTTGGATTTAACTCCAGAGTTGGATAATATATAGAGTATTTTTTGTTTGAATATGTATGTCGTAATTTTTTTATTATGTATTTATTTTTTTTTATCAACTGCTTATGCTGCCCTTCCCAGAGAGGGCTGAGTGGTTTTCAATAAAAAACAAAACTTAAAGCATAATAAAATAATACAAAAGAGTATAACAAAATAAACTCCCCCCACAAATTCAGACACAGCCTATTTTACCCCACTCGCTCCTACTTCCCTGGCTGTTAGTTAGGAGAGCATCCCCCCTGTCCAACCCAGTCTCACTTCTCCACCCCCATTCACTGTCTCTGCAAAAGAAAATATTTTTTCCCATGTTCCCTCCCATCCCTACAGATGCCCACTCTGCTGCCTCAAACCCTGGAGAGGGAAGGGTGTTTCTGGCCATTATTGCTTGCTGTGGGAATTTCAGGTCTCTGCCTCTGAACTGTGTTCTTGTATCCATGTGTCTTCTGTTTGATTAAATCTGGGGAGGCAGTCTCAATAGAAGAGATGCTTTATTGCTTCTTTTTGGGGGACAGGGTGACACTTGAGTAGAAAGTAAACATTAAGTCATTGATCAAGAAACCATCACCTGACTTGAATCTTCTAATGGACTAGTTTCCAATCTCCTGTGTTTGGGTGAGGCTGCTAGGAAATGGGTCACGTAAACCGAGTCACTTCCTTGCCAGATTAGAAAGAAAGGAAGGGAGAAGAGAATGCATTTAAAGGGGAGTATGCTTTGTGGCCGAAGCGTGCCCAAAGTGCTCAGCAGGGCGAGTATATGAATGCAGACAAAGGGAGAGCCAAGTTTGAGGGCCACATAACTGAAGAAAAAGTGAAACCATTAAAATGGTAAATGAAAGACAGGCTAGCAAGGAAGTGGAAACAGGGTACAAAAGGTAGAGAGAGGGGGTGGGGTGGGCTGTTTGGTGTAGTCTCCAAGCTGATAACTTGATTCAATGCGTTTCTTCCTTCCTCCTGTGCTTCTTGCTGCCCACACCCATAAAAATCAGAGTGGTGAGATAAAGTCAGTGGATCCTCGACTTATTCATGTGGTGATGGACAACTCGGCTCCTTCCAATGAGGTACTGTTATTTATCAGGTCTCTGCATATACAGTTGGAGCTTTGGAAAGTCTTTGAAGTCACTTGATAAAAAAAAGAACTGCAACAGGTGCTCTTCGCTGAGGGCATCAGAATTCTGCTGGAGGGGAGAAGTGGGTGTTGTGTTGCACTGTGATGGCTAATCCGATTATCTTCTTGGTTTCCCTTAAAGATCCATTTTCTGTCAGCACAGGCTTGCTTTTGGCTTACAAAGTTAGAAATGATTTTTAGTGGCTCTTGGCATCTGGACATGTCATCTTTCATTGTAAGAGGTTTTCTGACGTGGGTCCTGCTGGTCATTTTCTCTTATTGTAGGAAAACATTCCTCTCCTCCTTTAGGACCTTGTTGAGAGAGGGGTCATGGCTGGTCCCCACACAGCAGACTGTAACTTCATGCCACAGCAATCTGGGATCTGCCCTCCTCATTTAAATGATGGTTCTACTTGAAGTTTGGAGCTGCATGTTTGCTCTTTGCAGTGTAGAGCAGGCTGCCTCCTGCAGAATCCTGGCAATGTTGGCAGCTGTGTTTGACCAAAAGCTTTGTCCTAAAAGAAAGTGGTGGCAATGTACTTGTAGCAGTAAGATGCGTTGTATAAATAGTTTCATAGCTCAGGCTCTCAACCATAAGTATTTTGCAGTCATTACTTTCATTGGCTTTCTGTTTCTTTAAGGTCTGCTGTACTAGTGTTGCCACTATAACGTTGCTTGATGTCAGTCAGTTAATGAAAAGATTATTTGTGTTTATTGATGACCCTGTTCTAACATAAAAAGGACAAGGGCTTACCCTTTTTTGCTTCCTTACAGTTTCCTGTATTAAAAGTTGCCAGACCAGCATCTAGAGTAGAATAGAGTAACACATTAATTGTTCCAGCATACGGACTGTTTTCCATTGAGTTGGGAAGGGAATGGAACTTGTGGTTTTCTTAACACAACCAGGGGGACCTTTTGTAATAATTGCATAATTTTGCTTCTTCTAGGGCGGAGGTGTAAAAGCAGCTAAATCTTCAAAAGGGAAAAAGAAACGCGAGTGTCTGGAGGGAAAGGATGGACGAAGGAGGAAAACTGCTTCGGATCCTGGGTGTGATCCTGCAACAAAGAAGCTAAAAGAGAGGGGTGAAGCAGATAGTAATGGGAGTGACGGAGGAGAGGCAAGCAGTGGCCCTTGGAAAGGAGGCACCAGTAGTGATGCAGGGCTGGATCCAAGGGCCAAGCAGCTGCCTCCATTTGTTCCTCCAATTAATCGCAATATTCGCTTTGCCACTTACACCAAAGAGAATGGCCGAACTCTGGTAGTCCAGGATGAACCAGTTGGTGGTGAGACACCTGTACCATTCACTCCCTTTTCCTCAGCGGCTGGTCAAGCACTGCTGGTTGGAGCTGGTTGTAAAGAGGCAGGAAAATCACTGGAACAGGTTGGCCAAAACATGGCGGCTGCTGCAACAGCTGTTACTACAGCTACTTTGACGCCCACAACTGTGAGGATCTCAGATACTGGTATGTCAGCAGTTTCTGGACAAGAGAAATCAAAAAGCCGGTCACAGGCTCAGGGAGAGGTGAGTCGTTTGCAGCTCTGAAGATTCAAATTAAAACTAGGAAATGCAGGGAAAATGTATTTTCTAAGAGCGTCTAATGTAATAGGTTCCCATTGGGCATTTGTACATAGGCAGTTCTAAAAGGTTTGCCATTTGGGGACCTCTGTCTTTCCCAACAGTTCCTCTCGTTTCTTTTTTTTAGCCACTGACTGGGAAAAGAACTAAGGGACACCTCTTCAGGGCTGTCCAACTTCAGCCTCTGGGCACCGCACCGTGCAGGCCACTGGACCATGTGGCATGCAGATGCTTCCCGCTTCCCCCTTCCCCCTGCTGCTCCCCATAGACATCCCCTCCACTGCACCAGTGTCTTCCCCCACGCAGGCACAGTCTCTTCCCCCCCGCCCTTTCCCGTGGCTCTGATATTTGTTTTTTTTCCCCTACCCCTGCTGCACGCAGCACAGGCTTACCATCAGTTCCCGCTGCTACCTGCTGCCTGGACTTGCCTTTAGCTCCCTGCATTGCGTTGCTCTGCTCCCTGGGAAGGGAGGGGGAGCAGCAGCCAGGTGAGAGCCCAGGGGCTGCAACTTAATTACCATCAGCCCATGCACAGCCTACAAGGGCTAAGTTGCAGGCAGAAGGAAGCCACTTGGCTGTGAATCTCAAGGACTGTATAATATTTGTTTAACCGCTTAAAAAGAAATGCAGAGTAACAGAACTACTAACAGAGCTGTTCTGGGAGAGCAGTCACTGTTGTGTTGGTCTTTAAAGTTGGTAGGGGAGATTTGGGGAATTTTAGGGTATGAGACCTTAGTGTACCAGAAGACATTTCTGACCATGGCCCAAGAATTTATGATGAACCCTTAGCTAATCTTCATTTAAAACGTATAGTCCTGTGGTCAAGAATATTTTTATACATGAAATTTGTGATATAATAATTCTGTCTTCCTTAATCTGTAGACAGTCTGAAACTATATGAATTGGCCTTACCTACCACAGTATACTCAGGTCCTTGGTTGTGAGGTATCTGTATAAGCTTACATGCTAGGAAAAAGCTAGTCCCACAAGTCCTCCCTCCTTAGTCTGAGTGTTCTTCAGAAGTACTGATAAAATAATGGAAGAGGACTGTCAAAATCTTTGACTCTCAAAACAGATTTATAGAAAAGACTTACAAAACCCAGGGCTGCTATAGTTTGAATACATGTTATGATGGATTAAAACTATAGGAGATTCTAAATCAGAAGTTATAGTTGGAGAGACTGAGGCAATTAATGAGGCACAAAGAGACTAGATCTATAGATCATATAGTCACCAAATACATAAAGAAGAAAACATACTGTAAATACGCATACTCGGAGGGAGAATTCTGGGAGGCAGTAACATAGGAAGACTGATAGTGGTCAGCACACTAAACATGAGTGTGTAGTGTCATAAGGCTACAGAAAAGGCTAACCGTGGCATAAGCAGAAACCTTATGCCATGATGCTGGTAGGCAGCAGTTCCACATCCTATGGCCCTTAACTGCACCAACAACACAGGTTGCACAGGATTACAAGCTCGATGAGCATCAGCAACGTTCATAGATTCGTAGACATTAGGGCTGGAAGGGACCTTGAGGATCATCAAGTTCAGCCCCCTGCCCCAGGGGCAGGAAGTCAGCTAGGGTCAAAGGACCCCAGCAAGATAAGCATCCAAGCGTGTCTTGAATGAGTCCAGAGTAGGTGCCTGCACCACTTCTGGAGGGAGTCTATTCCAGGTCTTGGGGGCTTGGACTGTAAAGACATTTTTTCTTATGTCCAGCCTAAAACAGTCTTGTAGGAGTTTGACTGTTGGTCCTTGTTTTTCCTCGGGGCGCTCTGGTGAACAGACGTTCTCCCAGATCCTGATGTGTATACCCCTTATGTACTTATAAACAGCCACTGGGTCCCCCCTGAGCCTTCACTTTTCCAGAATTGTTATGGTGTCCCATGGCTCTCAGCCTCTCTTCATAGGGCCTGTTCTCTTGCATGCGCCAGTACAGAGCTGATGCCGGGGCTCCAGAGCCTGGCACAGCTGTTTAGAGCCTCCTGGCTCTGGGTAGCTGCTGTAGCCACAGAGCCTGGGCCGCTCCCAGCAGGCAGCTGGGACGCTGCAAGCCCTGCTGGGAGCAGCCCAGGCTTCAGCGGCTACCCAGAGCTGGAGCTGGCTGTGGCGTACGGAGCAAAATGGCCTCGCGTGCCATGCTTGGTACGCGTACCGGGGATTGCTGACCCCTGATCTAGTAAATAAGAAATGCATTTTTCTCCATGAGGAAAATGTGAGAAATAAGAAACTGAATAAATGCATGCTGAGCAGTGGTTTACATGTAGTTGCCTGCACTATTCCTCTTCCCTTTAAAGAAAAAAACCCCACCATGTTAAGGCTGAATGACTTAGTTGCAGGTACGTATGTTTGGCCGTTAGTCTGAGAGAAGGAATCAAATCCTCATTCAGGAAAATCGCTGTTCTGTACAAATACAAAACAAGATAAAAAGTAATAATTTAAATGGAAGTTTCATACTAGCTGATGTAAATCACTTCCATACGTGAGTCAGCCCAATTTGATCTGTTAGTTCCATTCCCACATGTTAAAAAAACTCAGTTTCTCTGCGCGCTCTCATTTTGTAACTGATATGAACCAGCTAGGTACATCAGTTTATAGGTGAAGAGAGGTCATGCATTGTGTAAATGTTAGTTTAGCGGGTGCTGTTTATATAATGATTTCTGGTCTGACTTCCTACAGTAGTAAGGGGCATGTGAAGAAATTGTGAAATAAGATAAACAAAGTACTGCTGAAGTAGATACTAAGCACTTCTGAGGAATTTGTCTCATTAGCTAACTCTCTCCAATTTTGTTGCAGAATTCCCGAAACTCGCTTTTGGCTGCTTCTTCTGGTTTTGGAGCATCTCTTCCAAGTGCTCCCCAACCTTTGGCATTCGGGGGTGGAAGAGGCCAATCAAATGGAGTACTGACTGCAGAAAGCAAACCTGTCGGATTTCCATTTGGCAGCAGCACTGGGCAAGAGTCTCCAAAAGATTCTGATCTGTCAAAGAACTTGTTTTTCCAATGTATGTCTCAGAATTTGCCCTCCAGTAACTACTTCACAGTCATCTCTGAGAGTTTGGCTGACGAGCCCTCTAATCGGGACTCATTCAAGCAGTGTTCAGAAAGCCTGGGCTCTGGGATTGGTAAAGGTAAAAGTCTTCTTGCAGCAGAGAATAAGCCTGCAGCCCAGCCTGGCAGTTCTGTGGACCGGAAGCTGCCAATGGAGTCAATGCCCACCCTCACTCCAGCTTTTTCGAGAAGCCTGTTGAATCCTCGGCCCCCAGATAATCATGAAAATTTATTTTTACAGCCCCCAAAACTGTCCCGGGAGGAGCCTGCAAACCCTTTCCTGGCATTTGCTGAGAAAGCAGAACTTGGTCCTTTCGGTAGCTTTGCATCTTCATCTCAGACAGGAGTTTCTACACCCTCTTCAACTGTGGCTCCCAAGGCTGCTTCTAGCTGGCCAGAATCGCTCACCTCAGCAGACGCTTCTTTTGCTAAGAAGAAAACCTTGTTTATAACAACCGATTCCTCCAAGCTGGTTTCTGGTGCGCCTGGTCTGGCTGCCCTGGCTGGTGTACAGAGCCCTGCTACGGTGGGGAATGGCCGCTCCAGCTCGCCTACCAGCATCCTGACACAGCCTATTGAGATGCCCACTCTTTCCTCCAGTCCAACGGAAGAGAAACCATCTGTTGGGCCTGGGCAGCAGGACAACCCTCTTCTGAAAACTTTTTCTAACGTCTTTGGCAGGCACCCGCCTTGCTTTTTCTCTTCACAGGCAGAGTTTGCACAAGAGAACAGAGCCCCCTTTGAAGCTGTGAAAAGGTTCTCGTTAGATGAGCGGAGCATGACATCCAAACAAGACTCAGATTCTAGTACCAATAGTGACCTGTCAGATTTGAGTGACTCTGAGGAGCAGCTGCAGGCCAAGGCTTGTCTGAAGGGGATCCCAGAACACTTGATTGGGAAGCTGGGCCCCAATGCAGAACGGAACGCTGAGTTGCTACTGGGAAAAGGAAAAGGGAAACAGGCCCCAAAGGGCCGGCCTCGCACAGCTCCCCTGAAAGGTGAAGACTTCAAGGCAGGGCACACCTGCTTGGAAACATGAAGGGAAGGGATTCTGTGTTCTGCACTGGCACATCTCCTGTATGGTAAACCATGTGATGTGCCCTCTGGTGTAAACTAGCATGTGCACAAGAGATTAGTAAGGGCCCAAGTTTGGAGTTGCATGGATTTGATATTTTTGGACTTAAGAATATTGGCAGGTGCAGTCTCTAAGAACGATGTGCCCCAGCATAAGTGTCAGGACACAGAATTAATGGGCATGCTTCAGAACTGATGACAATTGCTAATATTTCCCTGTGGGCATGTTCTTGTTCCACAGCTAAGACCATTATCCTGGTCCACTTGAAGCAGGCAGTACTAGCCACTAGTCTGAGATGAGAGACTGGACTCTTTGTGCTGTTTGTCTTAGACATTCTGGTAGACTGTCATGCTCACATGAGGGGGGTTGTGGCTTGTAATTTCTGACCGTTTCTATTCTTCAGTATTTTGTGTGTTCAGCCCCATTAACCATTCTTAATCTGTTTTGCAATATTCCTATTTGAAATAGCCATCAGTGTAATGGTGTGATGTGACTGAAGATTATATGCAAAAGTGCTCCTGCTCACGTTGGGAAGGGAGACCTTAGGAGAATTTCTTTGGCAGAAATGCACTGGTAGAGATTATCTGGGGGAAGATAGATGTTTCTGGTGTAGTTTGCTGGTGTAGCTTGATGGATTTTCATGTTTCCCCTTCTACACAGTTGGCCAGTCGGTGCTGAAAGACATGAGTAAAGTGAGGAAGCTGAAGCAGTCAGGAGAACCTTTCCTCCAGGACGGCTCTTGCATCAACGTAGCCCCTCATCTGCACAAGTGCCGGGAGTGCCGTCTGGAGCGGTACCGCAAGTTCAAGGAGCAAGAGCAAGATGACTCGACTGTGGCCTGTCGCTTTTTCCATTTCCGGAGGTGCTGAATCTGTTCTTGCTTCCTCCCTAATGCTGCAGAGCTTCAGGCTTATTTAAGTCCCCAGTTCTTAGGGCTTCTGCTTCTAATTTGCCTGAGAATCTTAGGGAAGGCTTTGACCGTTTCCAGTTTCCTGTCACCTGGCTGGAGTTCTGTTCTTCTGCGAAGAAGGCGGCTGCCATTGCAGATGTATTTCTGCCAGCTCACTTGAAAACTACAGCTATGTGATGCTAACTGGCTGACTCTATGCCAAGTCCCAGGAGACCTAATTTGCTTCAGTGAAATGTTACTGCTGGGTAGCAGGGTACTGAAGTAACTGCTCATTTCTGTTTTTATTCAATGAGTTTGGGACAGGTAAGATTTAATTTAGCTAACAAATAGCTAGAAGTTGTCGGTGCAAAGCTAGTATTGGTGTAAATGTGATAAGTTGGCTTGGAAGCAATTTCTTGGAGTAGCCTGCTCTGTCCATTTGTGTTTCCCTTCTCCCCCAGTATGCCGTGGGAGTACACAGGTCCCTCAAGGGATATGTGTTTCTTGATCTCCTTAATCGGTCTCGTCCCAACTAGTGACATGTGTAGCTGGGAGATAGATGATTAGTTGCTTCTAGAGAAATAAAGCAGCAGTAAATCCTCTGCACATTATACTGTATTCCTTGTTCGGGTTGGAAGGCATGTCTTTCTCTTCCCTCCATTGTTTGAAGCCAGGTGGGATGAGAAGCTAGATTGGACATGCTGGAGAACAAAGTTTTCTTAAAACAGACTGGAGCAGAAGTGCAAGTTTTTGACCTGTTGTGGACTGTGCGCATGCACATCATGATCTGGCAGGGCCATATCTATGAATTAAAGGTAGTTCCATCTGCTGAGATTAATGACACTAATCCTAGAAAGACTAGGATTTTTTAACATGTTTTTTAACATTTACAAGACAGGATGGGTTCACCCTTAATAAGTAGGTACTGAAACCAGTTGTCAAATGTCAGCTGCAATTTAGTGATGAACATACCAGTCTGTATGCAGGCTAGTAGTGAAGAGCTCCATGTCCTTTTTCCAGTTCCCACACGGTAGTTTTTTCTTCAGAAGCTAGGAGATAACTTGCACTAAGAGACAGCATGGAGAATTACATCCAGGACTCTGGATACTCTTGCATAGCAAACCAATAAGCCCCAGGGACTTTTATCAGCTTAGCCTCTTGCCATTTTTTCAGTCTTCCTGTTTCTCAAACTGAATTGGTTACCTCACAGCTCCCTGTTGTCAGTGCCTGTAACTGGGGATCTGTTCAGTTGCCTCAAGCTGTCCTCTTAGGCTGAAGTACTAACTCCATAGATTGTATAGTTATAGAGAAAAGCCTTTTCTTCTCTGCCCAGGTGCACTCTGAGGGGGATGGCATCAGAGGGAAGTTATCAGTTATTTTGCTGCTGCTTATCTAGTTCATCCTGTTTTGTTTCAGACTGATATTCACGCGGAAGGGTATCCTGCGAGTAGAAGGATTCTTAAATCCCCAGCAGAGCGACCCTGATGCGATGAGCCTGTGGATTCCGTCTTCCGCCCCTGCAGAGGGCATTGACCTGGAAACTTCTAAATACATCCTGGCCAATGTTGGGGACCAGTTCTGCCAGCTTGTTATGTCTGAGAAGGAGGCGATGATGATGGTGGAGCCACATCGTAAGCTGCTGGTTTTACCCCTCTAGCTGAGATCCATGCAAATTCAGTGTAGTGCAGCTAAAGAGATAGTTTAGCTCCTAGTTGCAAAGACTATGCTTTCCTTCTTTGAAAGAGGGTGCATCTCCTTCTGTAGCAGATCTGACTATAGGACCAGCTTCTCTTCTTGGAAAGAGTAGTTTTTCCTAACAAGGGAACTGATGGTAAATTGCCTGAAACTGCTAATTCCATGTTTTAAATAAGGAAATACAAAAAATTATGTTCCTTGAGTAACTGGTTGAAGGTCCTGAGAAAATAGAAATGAACCTTACTTTCTGATAACACTGACAAGTGCTTTAGGATACAATGAGGCCTTACTTTGGTGTCTAAAACCCTACACACTTGAAATGCTTAATCCTGAAGTCTGATAACTAATAGACTGTCATTGAATTCACTGCATGAATTCCATCCTATTAAATTAGTTCAGCTTTTGTGTTATCTCCTCCCAAAATGCCCTAGAAAAAGCTAAACGTTAGTCTGCCACGCATAGTGAAGATGCTGGTTTTAGAGGGCTGATATGCAAGTGTTTATCTATCAAAGTGCATGTCTCTGTGAAGGGTTGTACTGGGTGTGCTCGCTATGCATGTTTAAATGCTCCTCAAAAACAAATAATTACAAGTCTAGCAAAGGCAGACTTCATAATTAAGATCTGTTTTAGGCTTCAGCATCCAAATGGTAAGATGCTTGACTCAAAGCACATTGTCACAGTTTCTTTGGTTTAGGAAAAAAAGCTACTTTCTAACTCTAGAATAATTGAAGAGGATACTTAGTCAGAAATGTTTTTGTAATTCAGTATGGTCTCTACTGCTCTAGGATTGATAAGAGATGGTTGTGTTTTGCCAAGTCGGCAGCTTTTCAGCCTTTGTATACTTAGGCTGTAAAATGATTCCAGTCACTTTCCCAGGTTGAAATTGGAACATAGTTGTTTTCCTGACTGCCTGCCATTACTGAGTCATAGGCTTTGTGCTGTTACAGGCTTGCACGCATTTTTAAATGGGTGCAGATTTGCATACTCTGGCAATTTGCCAAATTCACACCCTTTTAATGTAGTATAGTAATTCTATAAATCCTGTTTCTGACTCGGACAGCATTCACTAGACTCCCAGGCTTTCTGCCTGTAAGCACACTACACTCGGTTCAGGTACACGCATTCTGTACCTACTTATCTGCTGCATCATGTGCATATACACACATCTGCTCTAGATTAGCCAATTCTATGTCTCTTCTGAAAAACTGTCACAGAACTGTGGGTTGCCAGATCCATACACAATAAAGACAGGGAACGCCTCTGTTCCATGGGGAAATCACTTCCAGTCTGCTGCCTTTAGGCAAGGGCATCAGATTGAAGCTCCTGCACCTGCTGCTGAACAGCCTGGTGTTTCAGTGGATAGCAAGTTTCAGCTTCTGCCTCCCAGGTATGTAAACGGAGACCTGGAGCGGTGGTGGAGTGTACTCGGCCCTCCAGTCAGTGACAGCTGAGGGTTAACTCTGCACTCCTTGTTGGCTTTCCTGCACCCGGTCTCTCCTGGGGCAACAACGGAGATGAAAGTGTTGTGGAATCTCACCCCACTGGAGAACTAAGCCTGGCTGCTAAGGCCAGGTCAGTGGGTTTGTGGAATCCTCAGACCCTTATGCCTCTTCCTCCCTCTCCTGCTGCCACCCCCTTCCCTGCAGCTCCCCACAAAAGGAAACAAAACCCCAATCTGAAATGTTCCTCCTTCTCTTTTTAGAGAAAGTGGCATGGAAGCGAGCAGTCCGTGGCGTGAGGGAAATGTGTGATGTATGTGAGACAACCCTCTTCAATATTCACTGGGTTTGTCGCAAATGTGGTTTTGGAGTCTGCCTGGACTGTTACCGGCTGAGGAAGAATCGTCCACGAAGTGGTTAGTATCAGCTTTCTCTGTGATTCTTGGATTCTTTGAGCTGGGCAGTTGGCAGGTGACCTCTGGGGTCTGATGGGGTCCCCAAGCAGGAGTTGGTGTGCAATGGGAGAGACTGGAAGGGTTTGGTAGAAGGGAGGTGATAGTGGCAGAAGCTTCTGCCACTGCTGCCTGCACCTGTTGTCATCCCATCGTCCTTGTTCTCTGAATGCCTGTCCATATATACATTTGCCTCTGGCATACTTGCACTCCATGTATGTGATCTGTCTTGAGGCCACCAGTGTTTGTTTATTTTTTCTGGGACTGTGCATGCCCCTGGTGTCCCTGTGCTCCACAGGGAACTGAACGTGTGCTGCAGCACCTGCTGTTGCCCAGTTTCCTCTTACCACTTGTAGCTGCAAGGTGGACCTGTTGTGTGTCTGGATCTTGGTATGCTCCTTAACCATTTTTAATGGCATGTTATTGTAAATGCTAGATATTGCTTGTTCACACAGATTTATAAGGGAAGCTTCTTTCTGTACTTGTGCTGAAGTTTGGGTAGCCTAACCTCAAGTCTCAACTGTTAAAGTTAAACTGTTTTTTGTCTTGTGGGGAAAGCCATACCAATAAAGGGACAAGTGAAACAACTTGTAAATCTTATACTAATGAATTTCAAGAGCTAGAGAAGATGCTTTGTAAATTCATAGATTCATAGGTTGTAGAGTTGAAAGGGACCATGAAGGATCATCATGTCCAACCCCTTGCCCCAGGCAGGAAAAGGACCGAGGTCAGACGACCCCAGTCAGATGCATATCTAGCCTCCTCTTGAAGACCTCCAAGTTAGGTCATAGTACCACCACTCTTGGAAGCCCGTTCCAGATTCTGGCCACCCTTACCGTGAAGAATTTTTTCCTAATGTCTAACCTGAATCTACTGGCTGCCTTTTACGATCAGGTCACAAAATCCTTGGATGCAGGTGTCGTGGTGTACGTAGTATTTCTGG